TCAATGTGTTCGCTGAGTTTGATCTTACGGTACTCAGGAACTTGAATATGCTGTTTTGAAGAGGCGTTATTCAATATAACTATGCACTTGGTTAGTTCATCTAATACCCAGCTGCAGGAGCAGAGAATAGGATTTTTAATATAAAGAATAAGTGTATTTTGAAAATATAACCAATAGAGCCCCGTCAAAACACAAGACACAGGAGCCATAAGATTCAAAATTTTGGAAAAGGCATTCTTGCTTAAAATTTGGAAAAAGACAATCTTTCTCATCATAACTATGTACTTGGTTTGTGTATTTCTTTAATACCCAGGAGCAGAGAAAATTTTCAAAGAATTTTTGCATTTTCACTATATGAGAGCCTATTCGAACACCAGAATCCCTGGCCCTGGGACTTTGGAATTAACAGTTTTAGAAAGATAGCCTTATTCAACATAACTATGTACGGGGGCCATAAAAATTCACAAATTTGGAAAAGGTAGACTTAATAACCATTTCTATGTATTTCGTTAGTTTATTCAATGCCCAGGAGTAGAGAAGATTTAAAAGAATAATATTTACATTCAGTGTAATTTGCTTTATGAAATCATCCACCAATCCATTAGAAATCAATGACGTTCAAATTTCTATAATACACCCGTAACCTTGTCACAGCGAAATAGAATACACAGTAGAAACTACATGCATTTTTAATATTTAGGAACGCCAAAATGTATATTTTTTTAACTCAATTTCGTTTAAAAAAACTAATCTTTCAAAGTTAACATGTAATACAACAAATGTGCATCAAAAATTATTATGTCATATGTTTCCTCGCAATGTTTATTTGCGTTATTGAACTTTCAAACGTCACAAAACGCTTTCCAAAGTCACGAACGGCTATTACGTTTATTAAACACACCGATACCGAAGCTAAATTCATATTAAACATGAACGAAATAAACAATTATGATGAAGGAAAATTAGAGAATGTAAATATAAGCATTGAATTCATATCTATTCTTTAAATTTTTTCCCCATAGATGCTTTATGACACAACTGGTTGGATTTGGATGAGTAGTTGCCGAGAAGAAACTTAAAAGGTTCACAATATGAAAGCACGACGGACAAAATAAATAGCAAAAAAAAAAGATCACCTGAGTTTACTAATAAAATAGAATCATAGAGCATATGGCGCCTTGAGTTTCATGCAAAATAATTGACGTCAACGTCACTTCTGTATGGTCACATATTATTTCATTGTTTCATCAAAAATAACAGGCAAATCTTTTCATGAATTTTGCCCAAAACACGGTGTAGTTACATGCATTACATCGACAGATTGCATTTTATATCAAATTTGAAATACTAAATTTCGTTACCATAATTGATTGTCGAGACAAAAAAAATCATTTTTTTCAATCGAATTTAGGCTCATACACGTAACACAGCTTGTTTTCTCGACAGCTGTTCATAATTTATTTTCAATATCAATCTTTGTATCTCTTACTCTACGAACCCCATGCCCGGTACCTCTGTTGCAGATTAAAGCAGTGTACGATTCTTTAATAGATCTTCAGGTTCCAGTTTGTAATACATGTATATATTTATTAGTTTAAACATGTGTCTTCTTTGTTATCTTGTATCCGCCCCCATGTAATGCTATTGTAAATACCTTTTTAGTTTTTTATTCAGTAAAGCGAAAGTAGGTTTTTATTCACTATACCATCGTAGAGGAACAGGCAAGTAGTACTAATCTTATTTACGATATAATCATCAATTTTTAATTTTGAAAAAATATATGCACTGAGATTCATAGCAATAACTTTGAACTAACCTTTTAAATAAAATACTACTACATTTTAATGTGTGTTTAAAAAGTCCAAATTCATGAACCCACTATTGCACATTACCTATTTAGCTTTCGCTTTACTAAAGAAGGACGGGGGAGGGGGTTTATTAACACCTACAATTGTATATTGTTGAGAGAGCATAGATTGATCTTTGTAAATAACTTTTTTTTCTGTTGTATAACCTTAATATATATCTTTAAAACAATTGAAAAATAAAGATCGATCGATTCAATGATTGAGTTCAGTAGTTTGTACAGGGTGTTTGAAAAAAGGTACAATTGTAACACTCTCAAACGTCAAGAATGCCGGTTAAAAGTTAAAGACTTTATATCAAAATATGTACACATATAAAGCAGACATGTAAGTTTAATCTGAGAGCTTAATTTAATATATGAAAAGAGAACAAAATATTTTAGCAGCATTTAAAGTACATAGTACCAATCTGTGATTTCAATAATTTAATGATGTTCATAAGTGAAGTCCTTTGACGAGCCCCCCTTCCCTAACTCGCACTTTGAAATTATTAATAACATTTTGGCACATTACTTTGCTGATCTTCTTAACTTAACGTTTGATATTTGCAAAACATATTTGTTCCCACCGATTTTGGTTTGTAAACGGAAGACTTGAGGTATCCCCAGAAAAAAAGCCAAGATTGTCCACACTCCTTCACTTCTGGGAATCGCCAGGAAATCACCTTTTCGCCGAAGATTTCTTTGAGATAATCTAGAACAATATTTATTAGATGTATGTGCTGTAGCACCATCTTGATGAACCAGATATTTGCTTATTTGCTGTTCGTTTTCGAAGCACAGGAACAAAGTTTTATCAAAAGTGAAATGTATCGTTGTGAATTAACAGTGTCCATAAACACTTAAGGGCCAATCACTTCATGTGAGGATATGGCACACCAAACAGTTAATTTTTCACTATTCACTGGTTTCTGTGTAACAATAAGGCTGTTCAATTCCCCAGAATCTCATTTTGTTTACATATACGTCCCTATAGATAGTTTTCGATGGGCCTAAATTTATCAAAAGTTACCTCCCGTCAGCCGCCATATTGTAGGTCGACTTGGTGAGTTTTCCTCTTTGTCTTACCAAGTTTAAGAAAATATAGCAGAAATAATTTGTAGAAAATCTTTATAAAATATTTTTTGAAAAAAAATGAGGTTTCCAAAAATTTTTATACTTCAGTAAAAAAATGATTCCTAATTCAAAATCGCAAATATAAAAATCTAAAATTGGTTGAACAATGAAGGAATATGAGCATTTGGACCTCCAGTATGGCGGCCAACAGGAAGTAACTCTTGCTAAATTTAGGTCCCTCAAAAACTGTTTATAAGAGGAAATGTGATTCGTCCGAAAACCAAACATTTTGAAATGCGTCTGCGTAATTTTCAGCAACTTCAGCTGCCCAACGACAAAAATGAAATCTTTGAACCTGATCCGAGATATTCAAACTCTGCATTATCCTCATTTTGTATGGAAAAAGTTTCAGATTTTCCCTAAATACATGTATGTCATGAACACAAGTTTTAGGGATTCCAGTCTCTGAGGACGAACGTCTAACTAATTTCTCAGGACTGTTAGAGAACATATCTCGAAGCGTGCTCACATTTTCGTAGCTCCGACTTGACCTCGGCTGACCTGCTTTTGGCGCATCTGCTACTGATCCTTGTCGCTCAAATTTAGATATGATCCTGCAGACATGTTTTCTGCTTACATTAAAATTCTTAAAATGTGATCCAAACTTTCGCTAACGTCTGTTACACAATTTGTTTCATTAAATTGTTTGACTATAAAAATACGCTGTTCTTACGTAAATCCCACCATGTTCAAATAACGTTTAATTAAAATAACGTCATAGTGTCGGAACGTCATACGTTTTAGCGCATAATTTTTCTCAAAGTTAAAACTTTTATAAATAGCTCGAGAATTAGCAAAGTTTTCAAAATGTTAAAGTGTTACCTTTCTTTTCGGACACCCTGTATTACTCATGTTATTGAGGCGTAGAGTTTCCACTTATTGACAAATGGAAATCTTTTAAAGTCAATATTAGCATACTTCTTAAAATGCACTGACATTGAAATAACTGAATGTTGAAGTTAAAAATAATGCAGACGACAAAAATAATACAGACTCCGTCAAAATATATGTGTTGAATGTTTGTACATTACTGCTTCAACATGTTCAATGTGTAATAGAATATAAATACTGAACGGAACAATTGTTAATCCTTGACGAAATGATGTCGGATTAAAACTATCTATCCTCTGCCAATATCGTCGTTGACGAAGAAGAAGGGGCTAGTTTTATCTTCTGCTTACATTTTATGTCAACTTATGATTGTCCCGGTACATTGTAAGACTGTGATAATCTTAAAACTGGGAGATAATAATCCTGTGAAGTTGTGAAAAAAAGAAACAAACATGTTACTCTGTACAATTGGTGTGAATGTTATTTTACATCTCACCTATGTTGATGAAAACAACAACAAAACTACATTTTATTGCATTTGTTATTAATTCAAAGCATGAATTGACGATAGCGTTTCTTAAGTTTTGCACAACTTACACTTAAAATTATTAGGATTTTTTTTTCTACATTTACGTTTACAAGGTCAATTTGATTTTATGTAGTGAAATATCAACGCCCCAACAATTTTGAAGAAAAATACAGTCATTCATTTGGTAAAATGAAGTGTAAATTAGAAATACAAAATAACAATATTTATATATATGTGGTTAATGGAGCGATAAGAATGCCAATCTGTTGTCCATGGAGCGGCAAAATAAGAAAACTATTGTTTAAACTCAAACGCAAAGGATATATATGTGTATATATCTGTACCATTAAACCTTAATTGCCAGTGTAAACAATAAGCATGGCATCCACCTCTTAGTACAACTTTCTTATAAACTCTTCAGGCCCAGAGTTACAAATATTTTTGGAAATTCTGTGTTGCGGAAAGGGGGCTGTTTGTGTGTTGTGTAATTTTTTTGCTTCCAGATGCAGATGCCGACTTTCACCAATAGCAACAAAAACTGTGTTTGGCTGTGTTATGTTTTAAGGAAATGATAATGACAATTTAATAAAGATGCATAAAATCGTATGTCAAGATTAGAAAATTGATTATACATATACAATTTTTTTTCCATTTAGATATATACATACGTGTATATAATGAATGCTGAATATAAAATGAAGAAGACTCGTCTTTTGAGGTGCCTTTTTGCAATAGCATTGATACAATTTGTAAGTGATATATTCTTTTTTATTGTATGCCTTTGACTCATATTATAAATGTAAGAGTTATCATTTAGCAATTATATAGTGGGGTAAACTTTTTTTGGAAAACTGTTTGATTTCAGGTCTTATGAAAATCTTTTGGATTTCCCAGAGGTTCAAATAACACACCACTTATAATTACATGTAGACCTATGAGCAATCATTAGAATAATTTGATGCAAAATATGTTGAGAATTTTAAACATTAGAAAAAAAATAACTGATGTGGTTTTTAACCCGATCGTACGGTATAGCGGCGATGTATTTTATATCAACAATAGCTAGTTGCATTGAGATATTCACTCAATATATTCCTTGAAATTGATAAACAACTAATTATAAAGGAACTGTGAGCAGTTGTTGCAACTATTATTTTAGAAACGACCACTTTTGAAATAATTACTATACCCCCCGCTTGAAAAGCGGGAGGGTATATAGTAATCGTTAATTCCGTCCGTCCGTCCGTCCGTCTGTTACGCTTTGGGGTACCCATCTCTTATCCGCAACTCCTCTAATACCACTAAATGAAATTTAATGAAACTTTCACAGAATCTTTATTACGTATTGCCATTGTGCACCTCGTATTTTACTTTTTGATCCGACACATATTTTGAGTTTCCCGGCCACAGGAAAACATGGACGTTTTCACCAGTTATAACCATATGGAAGGCCGGGGGTATCATTCAGTGAGCTCATCGCTCACAGTACCTCTAGTTTCAATTATTATCATTGAGAGTGCATTTCAAAACCAAACACATATCATAACCACTATTGAAATATCTTTCACTGTTGAAATAGCTATCTCAATAGTGATTGAAAAGGCACTTCAAAATAATTACAGGTTGCAACCAATATTGAAATAACGTTCACTACTGAGACTTTGATTTCAATAGAGGTTGTCAATGCATTTGAAAAACCTTAACCAAGTTGCAACCATTATTGAAATAATGTTTATTATTGAATTTAAGGAATTCCATTTTAAAGCTGACAATGCATTTAATGAATTTTCAGCTTTGAAATTGAATTCCAAAGACAAAACTAAACACTCGCAGATACTTATAGGCTTGCTACTCTACAAATATATATAATTAATCCAAAGTCTATTTGTCGAGACATTTAGAAACAGAACTGGAATGGAGTTACTGTACATGTAGTATAAACATCAAATGTATTACATGTAGGAAAATGGTTATTTCTTTCAATTTTTGACACCCATACATAACTTCAAGTGAAATAATGTCTGATATTGAAATAATAGTTAAAGTCTTCACACACCATTAGCCACGGACTGACAATAAACTGTGAGCGCGTTTTCCTTTCGTATGCATTTACTTTTAATTTTTAAGATTATAGTTTTAATGCAGGTATGTTAAGGCATAATAGATCAGAATTCGCCAAATTTAAACTTTGTTGTAACATGTAATACTGATAATTAAGAAATGTCTTGTATATAAAACTTTTTCTATCGATATCAATTCTTTAGACTTCAATGTAATGCTCACTACAGGAAGTCCACAACGTCATCATGTGACGTAAATAAAAAAAATATGCCTTAATAAAAAGTGAAAAGTTCAACACTACTCCGGGGATAAATAACAATTTTTGTCAAAGAATTTGGAAATGGTCTGTATAACTTAACAATTCAAATTTCTAAAATTATTTAGAGTTTTAGAATGTTAGTATAATAGTTCAAACTTCTAAATTTCAACAACTCAAACTGATTTCGTATATTACACTGTAGAATTTAATATTTAAGTTCAAAAACCTAAACTTTCAATTTTCCAAACAGGTTTTAACATTTTGAGTTTTTATATTTTTACCTCTAATTTTCAAAATTCAAATTTCCAAAAACAAATTTTGTATTCTAGTCTTTTGAGTTTTTAATCTACCGTTTGTTTAGAAAGTTTACGCTTAACAATCTAAAATTCGATAGCATTTTCGACTTTTCATTATTAGAGAAAACTACACATATATAAATTTCTTAAAGTTTAATGGCGAATAATGGCCATGGCAGCACTACAATTTTCAGGAAAGTACATTTAGTTACTGGTTACAATCGTAACCAAGGTTACCGACCCAAATACATTGGGCGATTTTGGCAACCCAAATGGCAAATGGCAAATACATGTAAATGAAAATCATCATGAAATGGGCAAATACATTGGGTGATTTTGACAACCCAAATGGCAAATGGCAAATACATGTAAATGAAAATCATCATGAAGTAGGCAAATATAGAAATGAATATGAAATAGGCAAATATACAAATGAAGCTGTTAAGCAACCTACTGGCAAATAATACATTGCAAATGTTTCATCCAGTCTAACACAAATAAGCAAATTGAAATTTCACACATATTGAAAATAATTATGTACAGTTGTAGCGAGCCCTGGGAACAGATGCTCACTAAATATAACCCTATTTAAGTTCAGCTAAAGATTGCATGGTCTTATTCCATCCGTTATACATACAAATCGGGAATCGTACGAAAATCAGTCACATGTAAGACAACAGTGAGCTCTGGGGCAAGATACTCACTACACATATAAATCAATATTCAAGTCCACCGACAGATTGCAGAAGGCATCTAGAGAATTGTAACTTCATTGGTGCAGGTACGGTAATAGTTGGTTACATCAACAGCCATCGGAGGTTGCAGCCATGCAGTGCGCCATGACGAAGTTAGGTGTTGAACTACGGGATTACAAGGTTCACATATAAATCACTATTCAAGTCCAACGACAGATTTTGGAACGCATCTAGAGAGTTGCAACTTCATTGGTGCGGGTAAGGTAACGGTTACATCAACAGCCATCGGAGGTTACAGTCATGCAGTGCGCCATGACGAAGTTAGGTGTTGAACTACGAGATGTACAAGGCTGAAAATAGAAAAAATTCAGGCAGCAGAAAATTGACACTAAACAGACAATTTATTTAATATTTTCATACATTACATATAGGGTGTTGGTGGGTGGGAATTTTTTAACACAATATAAAATAAATAAACAAATTTTTATCTTGAGATGCAGGATATGTCTGCTCCCCTTCATTCTCTAACGGAAAAGGAAGTCCTAAGGATTCGACTAAAATACCAAAAGTTGAAAGAACGGGGAAATACTAATGACCCAATAACCCCGAATATGGGCCTCTCCAATAACGCGATTTAATTTTCAGCAATTAAATCGAATTATTAGAGAAAACCACACATATATAAATTTCTTAAAGTTTAATGGCGAATAATGGCCATGGCAGCACTACAATTTTCAGGAAAGTACATTTAGTTACTGGTTACAATCGTAACCAAGGTTACCGACCCAAATACATTGGGCGATTTTGGCAACCCAAATGGCAAATGGCAAATACATGTAAATGAAAATCATCATGAAATGGGCAAATACATTGGGTGATTTTGACAGCCCAAATGGCAAATGGCAAATACATGTAAATGAAAATCATCATGAAGTAGGCAAATATAGAAATGAATATGAAATAGGCAAATATACAAATGATGCTGTTAAGCAACCTACTGGCAAATAATACATTGCAAATGTTTCATCCAGTCTGACACAAATAAGCAAATTGAAATTTCACACATATTGAAAATAATTATGTACAGTTGTAGCGAGCCCTGGGAACAGATGCTCACTAAATATAACCCTATTTAAGTTCAGCTAAAGATTGCGCCAATGGACACTATGTGTCCACCGCCACAATGGCGGTAGCTGAACGCTTATGATTCCCCCCCCCCCCCCCCCCCGCCCCCTAGTTTTTAAAGAATGGCAAAGCAAATAAATTAACATTGCATACCAAGACAAATGTGTTTAAAACAATCACATCAGCTTCATCTATTGTGTGTCTATTTTAGTGCGCTTTACGTTATTTAGTCAGTGTAATAGAGTGCCATGGCCATTAAAGCCCACCCTTGACATTTTAAAATTATGCAATGCTTTCCTCAAAGTTTCAACAAATATCGATCTCATTGCCTTGCTCTGACAAGTGCAACCCATCCTCTTAAAGTAGAGTATGATCAACCAAAGTGAACTCTGGGCAACAAATATATCCCCCTTGATGGGCCAACAACAAAGCTATAAACTCAAAACCCGACTTTAGTAAGAGCATGGTTGTGCCTAGCATTACGCCCAATCAATCTAGGTAATAACTGAAACCAAATAATTTTCAATATTTGTTGTTTGGTAACAGAGCTAAAAATTGAATCAAAAGAATTATTTATTCTATAATGCAAAACACATAATTGAATTTGACTAATGACTTTGCCATTGCAATGTAGAACCAGATTATAATTTTGTAGTATCTTCATACCTTGACATTAATTTGATTTTTGGGAGGAGATGTCACCATCCCATGCCACCTTTACCCTGCCACCAGATATTAGCTTTCAATGTGGATAACCTAAAATGGGAACCCCCTCCCCCCATTTTTTCTAGCATAACCAAAACCAGAAGTCTCTGTCGAGACTGTAGCTGTACTGGTTTATACTTAAAACAAAGGAAGAGAAAAGTAGCAGTTGATACTTGAAACTTTTAAACAGCAATAAATAGAAAAATGATCCTTGCCACTCATCAATATAAAAACCGATGCGCAGAATAAAGTATCCTAGCATAGTCCACCTGTGTGCCACGTTATCTTGAAATAAGACCAAAACTGTAGGAGGAGTAGCATTTTGAAAGAATTTCAAAGAAATTTCTATTCTTAGTAATCATGGCAGCACCATTCGTTGAAATCCCAAAATCATGCCATAATATTGACAATCCAAAAAAAAATGTACATATTCTTACACCCTCTGAAATATTTGTAAACAAAAATGATCATATTTAAAATAAGATTTAGCATAAAGGTGTTAGAAAACCTATCAAGCTATACTGCTTGAGGTGCTTAAAAAGTAATACAAACAATCGAGTCTTTAGCCATCAATGAATTTGAGGTTGGTATTCTTATTTATCTCTTGT